TTTTGTTCTTTCTTTCTTTTTTTTTTTTTGTAAAATTTTAATTTTATTTTTTGTTTTTTCAATTTTTGAGACAAAGAAATAATAATTACCATTCATTGATATTAATTACTGCCACTAATTTATTTGAAATTTTTTGTAAAACTTCATGTTTAAATTTAAGTTTTAATACTTTTATCAATTGTAAAAAAAATTAATTTTAATTATTTTATTTCTAAACATTTTGCAAAATTTGATTTGTTTCCAAACGAAAAATATTGGAATAAATAATAAATATACGACAAATTATCATTTAATAATATAATCGTTGTTTACAAATTTACAATGCTTAGCAAAAGTTATACAACGAATTAGCTAATAATTTCTAAATTAAAATTATAATGATAAAAATACAATTATAGTAATTCATTTCTTAATTTCTAAATTATAACGATTAAAATACAATTACAATGATTCATTTCTTATTTTCTAAATTAGAATTACAATGATTCATTTCTTAATTTCTAAATTATATTGATAAAATTACAATTATAATAATTCATTTCTTAATTTCTAAATTATGATAATAAATTATAGTGATTCATTTCTTAATTTCTAAATTATAATGATAAAATTATAATGATTCATTTCTTAATTTCTAAATTATATTGATAAAATTACAATTATAATAATTCATTTCTTAATTTCTAAATTATGATAATAAAATTATAATGATTCATTTCTTAATTTCTAAATTATACTGATAAAATTATAATGATTCATTTCTTAATTTCTAAGTTATAATGTTAAATTATAATGATTCATTTCTTAATTTCTAAATTATATTGATAAAATTACAATTATAATGATTCATTTCTTAATTTCTAAATTATAACGATAATGATTCATATCTTATAATAATTAAGAAATGACTAGTATTAAATTAGCCTAATATCAAGTACTATTTGACAATAAATTAAAATAATGATAATCAATTTAGAATGATCAAATTAATATGATAATTAGAAAGAGAGAGAGAGAGAGAGGTGGCGAGAGGGAGAGAGAGAGAATGGAAAAAAAAAAGAAACGATTAAGAAATAATGAATTATAATCAATAATTATTATTATTAGTTACAAAATATTTATGATTGGGTTAATCGGTAAATGATAATAAAGAATCATTGAAATTAATTGTGCACTTTCAAAAAGGATGGTTGACCTCATTAATGAATCCCTAAAATATCTATTAACGATCTAACCATTCTCAATCATTTATTACAATTACTATACCATTTTATCACTTCTTGAAATGTTACAAAAATTTCCTTTTCTTTTCTTATCATTCTTTTATCAATATTTTAAATTGTATTGATTGTACAATTCAGTGCATTTTATCATTGTATTTCTTATCAAATGATAATATTATTATGTTAATTATGTGTGCAATTAAAAGTATTAATTATTGCTAATTATCAGTTAATTTCATCTATGAAATGATTATCTTATCAAGTGATAATATTATGTTAATTATGTGTGCAATTAAAAGTATTAATTATTGCTAATTATCAGTTAATTTCATCTATGAAATGATTATTTCTTATCAAGTGATAATATTATTATGTTAATTATGCGTGCAATTAAAAGTATTAATTATTGCTAATTATCAGTTAATTTCATCTATGAAATGATTATTTCTTATCAAGTGATAATATTATTATGTTAATTATGCGTGCAATTAAAAGTATTAATTATTGCTAATTATCAGTTAATTTCATTTATGAAATGATTATTTCGCTTTGAAATAGTTCAAAATGGTAGTATAAAATATAAAAAATATTTCATTTTTTTTTGGAAGTTTAATTATTTATCAATAAAATATAAAATATATCGAAAATTAAATTAATAATTTTAATTTTATCTTAATTCCTTTATCTTTCTACTACTCTTTTTTTTTCATTTTCATTTTCTTCACGATTTTAATCATTTCTCATTGTACTTTTTTTTTAGTTTTAAAAACATTTTTTTTTCTTTCAATTTGAACACAATTAAAAATTTTTTTTTTTTAAATTATTAGCAACAATTCGAATAAATAAGACAAAAAAACGGAAAAAAAATGATGAAAAATTGCTTAAAATAAATGTTTAATTTTTTTTTCTTTTTTTAAATGTTCGTTCAATTTTAAGAAATAAAATATCAAATTTCAAATTTCTTTTTTTTTTAGCATATATCAGATGAAATGTTTATCATTTTATCATTTATTTACAATCAAAAATGATGGAATATAGCAAAGCTGAAAAACAAAATAACAACAACAACAATTCCTGCTTTTTTCTATTTTATTAAAATTTAATACTACTGAATATGTATTGGTACTATTTTCATCATTTCATACTATTATCGATTATTTTACATTTAAAAACTATTTCAAGTAAGTTTTAAATTTTAAACATTTTTTTTTGCAAAAAAACAAAATAATTACTTTTATGTTTACCATATTTTTTATTTTTAAAATAAATTCCTAACATAAATATTTCTGTCAGTGAAAGAATTTTCATTCTAATTTATCGCTAAAGAGATTAGCTATTAGCAATATAATTTAATTTAAACTTACATACTTTTATGATAATGTAATACAACGATTTAATTTGCATAATGATTAATATAATTTGGGCAACAATATGATAAAATAATATTATTTATAGTAATAATAATATAATAATATAATAGCAATAATAATAAAATAATTATTTATAGTAATAATAATAGCAATAATAATAAAATAATTATTTATAGTAATAATAATAGCAATAATAATAAAATAGTAATAATGACAATAATAACAGTAATGATAATAAAGTAATAATAGTAGCAATAATAGTAATAATAATAATAATTAGATTAGAGAGTATAATGATTTCATTGTTTCAATTACTTTGATAAATTTTACAGGTGAATCAGTTACCTGTGTACTATCATATTATGCGGACGAAATAAGTTACAATGATGCATCACTGTTGGATTTCTATTACACCAGGTAATATACAATTGATTTTAATTATATCATTTATATCACAGTTAATTGAATACTTAATTATTGAATGACATAATAATTGCATACTTAATAAAATAAAATAAATTAGGATTGGTTATTATTTTATTATTATTTTTCACAGACAAATATTGTTTAATTTTGTATGAAAAGAAAAGTCGAACAGTTTCGAATAGCGATACATCATATCTTATCAATATCAAAATTATCACAGTTATCACTGGATGAAATATATCTTGATATCAGATTGTTTAAATTAAACTTTAAAAAGCAATCATTAATAATTATTTATGCAAATAATAAGCAATAATTATATTTTACTATAAAACTTTACAATTTTTCATATATGTGAGCAATAATTAGTGCCAATGTTAATTACTCCCAGAAAAATAATTTAAATTTGTTGAAATTGTCCTGAAATTAACAAAGCAAATATTTGTTGAATTAAAATAGTTAGCAAAAAAATAAATAAATTAATAATAAAAAGTACTTTAACTAATAATATTATTTATAAAAAACTTATTGCAAATAATAAAAAAAAAACTTTTTTTTCTCTCTTTGATTAACTGATAAGAATTTTTTCAAAAAAACAAAAATGCTAAAATTTGATCATTGTACTTTCTTTTATTATAATCAATTGTGTGAAAAAAAAAAAAAGATTTATAAAATTTATTTCGAATTTGATTTTTTTTTTTTTGCTTAATTGACTAAAAATAATTTATTGCTATAAAAAGCGATAAAAGAAATAATTTACTGAAATTAAACAAAATTATTATACCATTTTAATTTCCATTAATAACATATAATTAATTTTGTGTAATTTTTTGATTATACTTCCGAAATGTAAAATTTAGATTTTAGCGTAAGAATTAAACAGACATAATTTTGATAATAAATAAAGAAAAGATGGATGAATAATTTAAATTTATTTTTGTGAAAGGATAAAAAAAAAAGGGCAGAAAAATAATTTGAACTAAATATTATAATTGTGCACCGATATTCTAAAATCCTTTAAATTTTCACTATAAATAGGTTTTTAAATTTTAATGAAAAAATTTTTAATTAGTGAATATCCTATTAATTCTAAATTAGCAAAAAAAAAAAAAAACTTTGAAAAATGAATTCAAATTCATTAATCATCATAAATAATACAATAAATAGCAAAATATTTAACTCAACTTATTAAAAAATTTATCAATTTTTCTACATAATTAAATTTTAGTCCATTTATTTAACTAAAACAAAATAACTTGAAAATATAATTACTTGAAATGAATAATGAATTTAATGCAATAAACATTTTATGAAAAAAAGAAAAAAACTAAATTAAAAATGTCAAACGTATTTATTACTAACTTTTTTGAACTAAAAATTAATTATTGATTTTTTTGATTTTTGATTTTTTTCAATTTTTTTTTTCAATTTTTTTTGAAAAATTATTGAAAATTGAAATATTCAATTATATATTTATAAATTTTAATATTTTTTACTAAAAATTAATAAATATACTTTTAAGTGTTGGCGTTAAATCAGTGGACGAATGCGCCAATTTTTGCTTTCATCGACAATTTTGTCGTACTGCTGTATACAATTATTTTGCAAATACTTGTTCAATAAGTTATAATTGGGTAATAAATTGTTGGTAAGCAATTAATTTTATATTAATTAAATTTTAAAAATTTTTTGTATCATAATTTTTCTCCTAGTTTTAGTCAATTTAAATTTGAAATTTCTTCATAAATCAATTTGTAAAATGAAATAGTTATTGACAAAAAGGAAAAATTGATCTAATAAGATTTGTGAAAGTGTAATTTGTGATATTCAAAAAAATTTTTCGTGCTATCCTCTCTTATCAGACAATCGTTATCAACCTGAAATTGACCTGATATTATCCTGATAAGTTAATTACAGGAATTATTCAAAACGGTATTCGCAATATCAGTCACCTACTCGACAGTTAGTTCGAATTGCTTGCATGGATCGTTGCAAACTTGGTACCACTGAAACCAGTATGTTTTTTTTTTTTTTTTTTAAATTATATATATTTAAACTTTAGTGAAATCTCATTTAACTCTTTAAAAGTTGAAAATATATTTGGCAAGTTTAAATGACACTTTGTCCATGATTTTGAGGAAATTTTCAAAAAATTTCCATGCAAATATTGCAATTTAAATTTGTTTAAGCTTAAATTTTTTCTTTTTTGAAATTTAAGTTTTGAATTTAAATTTGAATTCAAAAATTTTATTATTTTGGTTGATCAAAAATGTTTAAAAATAACGTAAAACATTATTCTAATTCATTTTTTCTTTTAAATTCTATTATCATTGATTAAAAATAAAATTTAGAATTTAAATAAAAAATTTGCTAAATATAAACCATAAAATCTTCGCAATTGCTTTTTATTTATTTCCTAATTATTCATTATTTGTTTTGATTAATCTAGACAAATTTGATAAAATTTTGTTTGTAAATCGTGTAAGTATGAAATTTTATAGTTTAATTTTATTTTAAAAAATTTTTAAAAAAATTTATTAATGCTTTATGTGTAAATTTAAGCACTTCCAAAAAGGGAAATGATAAAAACTTTTTGGATTTCACAAAAATTGAACAGTTCGTAGTCCTAATAATTTAATTCAAAGATTAATTGAATTTTGAAAAAATAATTTTTTATAATTTTTAATTGTATATAATTTCATAAGTACCAATTTATCATTATTTAACATTTTGATTAATCATTCTTAATGGTTACATAATTATTAATTAATTCTACTGAAAGTGCAGCTAATTAATTAATTGTGTTTAAAAACTTTTGGAAAAGAATTTGGTAATTAGCAATTTCTTTTCTTTAGATTAATTCATTAAAACTAATAATTAAAAATGTGAGTAAATAAAACAATTTTTAGGGAATAATTTTTGTCAAATAATTAATTAATTATGGTTTTTTAAGTTAAAATAATTTGTTTTTATTCTTAGATCATTTTTTTAATTTTTCTTTAAATTTTGAATTCATTAAAACACTTTCAATTTGAAGTAAATTTATGTCTTTTAGAAAATGTAAATGATTTAAATCATGTAAACGATATAATATTGAAATCAGGTATTGAACTTACCCGAAGTGCAGGTAAACATTTGAAATTTTCATATTATAATATATGATTGCATGATTATTCCCCTCTTTTCTTCTTTTTATTATATTTTATTTTTGCTATTTGTAGATTTTTCAATTTTTTTTTTTTTAATTAGCAATTTCTTTATTAAATTCATTATTTTAATTCTTGTTAATTTTTTTTTTTTTTTTTGATGGAATCTGATTTTAAATTGAAATTTCTCTCAAATAATTAATTTTTTTTTTGAAACAAAACAATTGTTTTTGTTTATTATAGGAAAGATTATTGATATTATTGAAGAAAAATAAAAAAAAAAAATTTTATTCTAATTTTATGCAATAAAAAATGATTAAATCAGAAATGACTAACAATTTATTCAATTTCAATCTATCAAATCGATCCATCAATGTATCTTTTTCGTTTGAATTTTATTTCTTATAAAATATTTTGTAATAATATCAATAATAGCAATAATAGTAACAATAATAATAATAATAATAATAATAAGCAATTAGATTTTGAGGAAAATTTTTGACAAAAAAAAAAAAAAACATTAATTTTAATTTTCAGTGATATCTGATGAATTTAAAAAAGGAAACACAACAATTCCACCAACAATTAATAATGAAAATAATTTTACCATATTTGAAACAACCACAACTGTTTATGGTGTATTACTGGCAGCAATAACAATAGAAACAACAACAACAACAATAGTACCGACAACAACAACAACTACTACTATATTAACAAGTACTGCAAATGCTAAAACAATTACTGAAACAGTTATTGAAGAAAATGATTCTATTAATTCTGCTGATGATGCTATGTCTATTACAACAACAACAACAACAATAACAACAACAACAACAACAGCAACAACAACAATAGCTACTACTTCTGCTACTAATATTATTTCAATTAAAGATATTCATTTACCGAGTAGAACAATTTTACAATCATTTGAAGATGAAACATTGTTATGGTGGATTAATTTGAAAAAGATACTTGAGAAAAAAATACCAACTTTTCATGATATAACGGAAGCATTTGATAATAAAAGTAATATAAGCATAAGTAATCCACAAAAATCAATCAATGATGATAATAATGAAAGTAAATTACGTTACCTGGAAGAGATAGTACGTGAATTACGAGAAAATCCCAATAAATATAAAGTATCAGTGGAACGTGTCGATGATCGACAAAGTTGGATCGTTATTCGTATTGGTAATTATCATAAGCGTGAAAATTTGCATGAAACAATATTTACGGATATTCCCGGAATGCTACATCAATTTCCAACAAGACGTGATTCACCGGAAGAGTTAAAAGCAAATTATCATATACTACGGATTAAATTACCATATGAATTTCTCAACAATAATAGTAATACATTAAAAGGAAGCGAAATTCAACAAAATGAAGCACGTACAAATCCAGAAAGTATTTCCGGTTTTGACAGGCAACGATTGAATAAACAAAAGGAGGATGGAATATTTGAAAAGGTTCCAGCACAATTTATTGATAAACAACATGGCTATCTGTATCATGTTCAAATTCATGGTATTAATCAAAATTTGTCATCTGTCAACGATCATGAAATGCGACAAAAGAAAATTAAAAGCAGTAAGATAGCAACAACAGATGACAATATTAATGGAAGTGAATATTTCAATTATTTCATTAATTTTTCAAAGAGAGAGAGAGAGAGATTTTATTTTATATTATTCAATCTTTTTTTTTTTTTTTTTTCAAAATAATTTTTTAATAATATTTTTTACATTTTTTTAAATAATTTTTTTTATTTTTTAATAAATAATTTTTTTTTAGTTGAAAGGAGAATTTCATTAAAATTTTTTGACACTGTTCAAAATAAATGTTAATAATATGCAATTAATTTGATTTCATACAGGAAAAACTTCACTGATTATTAATTCAACCTGTTTTGGTATGATTGATCGTCAACTGTTATATAATGCTTCCTATAAAGAAATTGATAATATTTCATTGGAACAGTGCAGGTAATTTGCTAAACTTTTCAATCCTTCAACATAGCAATGATATCACTATCATCTGATAATGATAACTCAAATCCTTATAACATCTTATCATTACTTAATAATGATAATGTCAATGCGATGATATCGATCCTTTAACATAGCAATGATTTCACTGTCATCTATAACATTTCATCATTACTTAATAATGATAACGTTAATACGTTGATAATGATAAGCATTAATGAACTATAATAACGAATAAATTTTTAACTGTTTCTTCTATAGTACAAAAAAAAAAAACAATTATAGGAAATAGTTTCCCAATCGTATAACAATAATAATCAAAAATAATATACAATAATAATCGACATAATGATAATTAGTATCAACAATAATTAATAAAGAAGGGAAGAAGGAAAATAAAAATAGGAACAGGAATAATATTTAATAATAACGGCAATAGTAATACCAATAAGATTAATAATAGTGATGGCATTAATAATAATTATAGTAACAATAATAATAGTAATAACAGTAATAATAGTAATGAAATAATGGGAATTAGTGGTGATCTGCTCTTTGATACTATACTATGTGACAGAAAAACGACATTAAAATTGTTAGTTTTCAACAGCGCATCATAATATTTAAAAAAAAAAAAACAATGAATTATTGAAAATTAATTAAATTCAAATATATTATTCAAATATTAAATTCAAATATATTATTATTTCCCATTTGATTAGCCTTATTATATATGAAATATTAAACCATTATTCAGTATTATTCTTGATCTGATCATTCTGATCATGGATTAAGCATTTGATCATCGTAAATTAGACATTTGATCATCATTATCTTAAGCAGAATCACCAATGAAATCAATTCATACATTTGATTTTAAATATTTTCTTTTTTTTTTTTTTTTTTCATAAGTTTTAACATTTTTTATTTATTATCGTTTTTCTGGCAAAAAAAAAAAATCTTTTTTTTAATTTGAAATTTTCCTTTTTTCTTGAAATATTTTTATAAAATTTTGCTGCTAAATAAATGTATTACAGATGTGCTTGTGCTAAGACATGGAATAATGATGATAAAAATGATTGTATGATAAAGTGTAAAAGTTTTCAATACAGTAATGTTACACGGAAATGTTTGTTAAACGAGGATGATCATCATGGAAATTATGATTTGATATATAATTGGGATAATAATTATTTTTATCGAATATGTACTACTGAAGGTTTACTTTTATTTTTGTTTTCTCAGCTAAGTTTATTATTTATAGTAATAATTATTAAAGTATATATTAATTTTAAAAATTGTTAATAAATTATTAGCAAATAGATTTTCTCAATGTGCCTCAAAATATTCGCAATAGTTAAAAGCAATCCGTTGATAATCATACACTTATAACAAAAAAGCAAAAATTATAGCTATTTTCAATACAAATATGTAATTAATAATATCTTTAAACTAATTCTGCAAAAATTTATCAAAAAAAAAATTTCTTTTTTTAAAATTTTAAAAATTTTATTTTTTATTTTTCTTATCAGTGATGTTCGTTCATTCTAGATATTATCAGTAATGCAAATCGGAACTGTCATACAGAAAGAAACACAAATTTTGTGCAATTTGCATTAGAAGGAACAAGTGCTAATGAGGATGTGATGATAAGTAGTAGTAGTGGTAGTAGTGCTGATGAAAATAAAACAAATCATTCAAACAGGAAACGATCAACGATTGATCATCGATCAGTGTTCTCTTCATCAGCTTTTCGTACAAAATCTGTTTATTGGTGGAAAGAGCATGGAAAGGAAGAAGTAAGCAACAAAACAATTAGTGAAGAAGTGATATTATCACCTGATTTATGGAGTAAAATAATGAAAACAAAAAGTGTTGCGAAAAATTTTAAAAGTTTGGTACTTGAAATATTGGAGAAACAATCGGAAGAAATTAGTGCTGAAAAGAGTGAATATGATTATAAAATTAAAATTCAACATGGTACTACTACTGCTAGTACCACTACTACTACTACTGATACTGTTACTACCAATATTATATCACATGGTAGTCGAGGGATCCGATCTACAAGTGATACAGATTTGGAAATAATTGAGAAACCGTTTGCTACAACAAAAATTTTCACGGATTATACTAAAATGATAATAACTAATCTGTCATCATCATCATCATCATCAACAACTTCTGAAGAAATTGTTAAGTCATTAACAAATGAATCTGAATTGAAAGTTATTGGAACGATTGAACATGAAATTAGGACGGATAATGGCAACAATAAAAAATTCCGAGGATCAATTAATGAATTAAATTCGAGTATCGAGAAATTAGCGACAACTGCTATTATTGGCCAACAAGCAACAACAGACAAAGATTTAGGTGGATTTTCGGAAAAATGAAAAATTTTCATATTTATCCGAAAAGTTTTGTAATTAAATCTGTTTCTAATCAGTTTTGCTATTCAAATTACTTTTTTTTTTTTTCAAGAAATGTTCAATCAGTATTGTTAATTAATAATAGAATATCAATTGAAAAATTGATTTCAGTTCAAATATTTACCTTACTGATTATCAAAAAAGAAGGAAAAAAAAAAGGAGAATTTATTTAGAAGATGAAAGATTCGATGGTACTTCTGATGATAATTTAAATGAAAATGAAATCACAACAGTAGCAGCTATGGTAACGGAAGGATCTGGTGAAATGATAACCAATAAAAAACTTGATATTCCGGAAAAAAATTCCAGAGAAGGTGCTAATTATTCTGACAACAATAATCTATGATATTCATTTACAAAATATTAAAATTTTTATCTGTTTAGATTTTTACAATAATTAATTTTTTTTTTCTTGTTGAAGGAAAGATTCAAAAAAATTCGCTTTTTTTCATCAAATTTTGTTGAAAATTTTAAAAAATTTGATAACGGAATTAAGATATTAAAAGTATGCATATATTCAATATAGGATTGAGTTGCAGATGCCAACAAAATTGAACAAAATTTGGCATCGAAACCAGTCGGTGACTGCTTTGAAGTATGTTGCATAGTTCATTTTAATCATTTAGAATAAATTTCTAATTTAGCAAATGATGATAGTTTTACTTTGAGAACTGAAATTTACAACTTTTAATATTTGAATATGATAGTAAATAAATATTTTTTGGCGGTGTTGGTAGGTCGAAATATTACACTTCTATACAGTAGAAATATGGAACATATGCGCATAAAATATATGCTACTAACTGGGTAAAGGTATAGAGTAATAGATTTTAGATAAGGTTTTGGTGAAAACACTTTTTTTAAAGATCATTAAAATCACTTTAAAGGTTATTGATGGATTTATTCTGAAAGGTACTGCGGGCGGACTTGAACAAGATGTGACACTGGAGGAATGTCAATGTTATTGCGCTAATAGCAGGTAAGTTTCAAAGATATTTGATTTTATGTAAACAACTTTAAATTGTGACAAAGATATCTCGAAATTATGATTTTTGAGAAATATATTAGACTACTGATCGTTTTTTGATATGCAAAGATTCTAATTCTGTTATTTCACTACATAATAAAATAATTTATGCATAATTTTACTTTATTTCAGCACATTTAATCATTTAATTTAATAATTTGAATAAAACATTTGATAACATTTTTTTTTTGATGAAATATAAGCTTAAATTCTTGAAAGCAAGAATTAAGCAATAGTTTGAATAAAATTGTGAGGCAATTCTGATGCTTCTTTTTTCAATTATTATAAATCACGATAAGGTATTACTTACTTTACCATTCTTATCTAGTAATAATTAATATAACCTGATTTCTTTTTGCTGCAGAAATTTGACTACAGGAATATTAAATAAAAATATGTTCTCTATTTTCATCTTTGAAATAATTAGTTCTTATTTTTCATAAGATGTATTGAAAAATCTTAGTTTAATCAGAAATTAAAGTTTTTTTAGAAGCGATGAACGCTACTCTTTTCAATGTGTTTCGGCAACTTATTATCACAACGAACGTGATTGCATTTTGAATTTACAAACAAGAAATGATTCTCCAGACCAATTTCAACTGCAGGACAATGTCAGTTATCTGGGAATGATTTGTTCAGTAGGTTAGCATATATTATATTCATACTTTTAATTAGGAATCACAATATTATCATGATTTTACATTCATATATTTGATATTGTTTTAGTAAGGTTGATACTGTATAACTAATACCATATAGTGGTACCGTATACTCGTTATGCAATACGGTATCTGCAATACCGTAATACGATGCTGTATAATATTACATAAATAACATTTATCTTTTTTAGAAGAATCAAAGGAACGATTAGTGAATAATAATTTTGTTCATGGTTGTAGACAAACTGCTAGCATTTCAACTTCAACAACAATACCAGAAAAAATTTTCATGCCAGGTTATTAAACATTAAGTACCTAAATTAAATGAATTCGTTCATATTTTCAGTGAGATATTTTAATTTATCATTTTAAACAAATTTTTCAAAACAGAATAACATCCTTAGTTTAAATTACGCAAATTATTATGATAATAATAAAGTAGCAATTATATAGCAGAGAGAGAAATAGCACTGTTTATAAATAATGCACATTTATCAATTATATAAATAAAATATTTATTAACTTTTTGCAATGATTCTGATTCTTTTCTCATACAATAAAAATTGTTTTCTCACACAAAAATCGTTTTTTCATAACTTTTATTTGCTCTCATATTTGAAATTTTTAATACTTTTTTTTTCATTCATTTTTCTTTTTATTGTTTCATCATTCTTTGTTGTGATATTTGATAGTTTAATTCACAAAACAAATACAACTATCATTTAACAAATAATTACAAAAAATGATTATTAGTGATTTTTGCAGTAAATACGGATAGTTGCTTTGTTGAAATGCCAAATCATGTACTACATGGTACAGCATTTGCTGCAGAAACTAATGTATCTGTGGATGCATGTAAGTGTTACTGTATGAATGCTGAAAATCGATACGGTATCGAATGTAACAGTATCGAGTACTACTTTGATTCCAGGACATGCTTACTAAGTAATTTGAGCAGGTAAAGTTATCTGGTTTACAAAAAATAGAAGTCTAATTTGCTATTTTCAGGTTATTTTCATTTGTAAACTTTAAAGATTACTGTAGAAAATTTGGTGGAAACAGGAATAAGTAATAGAAATATATAATGAAAGCAAAAAATTCTAAATTTCGTTTCCTTTTTTTGAAAAATAAAAATTAAAACAAATTTTTTTTTCAGATGAATCTGCAAAATTTGGTTAGTAGAAATTTACTTTGATCATTCATTTATCAAAAAAAAAAAAAATACCCGATTGTTTCGGTCCTAAATTATTTTTTTATAGATGAAATTTCAGGATAACAGATCCAAAAAATTTTAATCATTCTATTGTTTACACACTAATGCATAGCTATTTCGATAAAAGTTGTTTAACTGGAAGTAAGTTTTAATTGATTTTTACTAGCAATAACTTTTTTTTTTGTGAAAGAAAAAGAAAATTAATGTGAAGAGTTTATTTTAAAATTGAAATTTAAAAATGTAAACCTTGAAGAAAAAATGCAACAAAATAAGGAAAAATCAATTCATTTGCTTCTATTATTGGTTTTTCAGGTGATAAATTTCCAATTTACATGAAAGAAAACTGTTTATCTACAATGAATTTGGTATTAAAGGATGAAAATTTATCACTAAATTTTCGAGCTGAAAATGACAACAATAGAAATATTACTTTACACAACGAAGAGGTCTGATTTTTCTTTTTTTTTTGCTGACTTTAATACATTTCAGAAAAATGAAATAAATGATTTTCTAAATGTAAAGAATTTTTAAATTTACATGAAATAAAAAAAAAGTTATACAAAATTTGAGTAATTAAAATTAGGAAATAGATTATATCAAGCGGAAATATTTGTAAATATTTTTTGATTTTTTTTCGAAGACTTTTTTTTAATTAATAGATGAAAAAATATAGGATATCACTGATAATTTGGAAGATAAAAGCAAAAAAGATTTTCCAAAACTTTATTATTTCGTTAAAATTGGTTTTTGAAACTTTAAATGAAATTTTTTAGACGAAAAATATTTATGATAGCAGTGACAATATTGATTTGAGCAGTAGTAGTATGATTTCCTCAACAAATCCTTCTCATTCTATTCAATATACTACTCCTCAATCAACTTATTATGACCCTTCAGAAGGTTCATTTTCAATTTTTTCCTTTGAAATTTACTTTTTTATTTTAATTCTGTTTCGAATAATAATTTGATGTATAAGAAAAAATTTGATGCAAAAAATAGAAAATAGAAAAAAAAATTTTTTTTTTAAATTTACAAATTATATCATGGATATTATAATTGAATATCGATTTTCAATTCAGCAACTAGATTGAAATTAAAATTATAAAAGTAAAAGAGCATTCACCAAAAAGTATTGCAAAATTATTAATTTATAAAATTACAATTTATTCAAGTCAACATTATTGTTATATTAAATTTATGTTTATGTCATAAAGTTTGATGGATTGATTAGAATTAAATTGCTTGAATTATATTATTAATTATATTAGACCATAATATTGATTTATCAATAATACTCTCACAATATATCACTTTGCATTCAAAAATTTAAGTTTCACTTCCTAAAATTAGTTGGAAATAGTAGTACGAAATTCAAAATTGCACAAATAATTTTACAAATTTAGGCTAACTTTTTCAGTTCGTATTTCTTTTTAAAAAGAAAAAAAAAAGTTAACACAATTTTTTATTTCAAATTTACAATATTTAGATGTTGGAGAAGGAAAAAAAACGAAGGAAAATGAGTCGCAAAATCATGATCTGACGACAACTTATGTGAAAACCACAATGTCAACAAATGATTTTACAACTGTTTCGGATTCATTTACAGAGCATAGCGATACGACTGCTACGATTTGTTTGTTTTTCCTTTTTTACTGCTAAAATTTATGCTATGTGACTTATTTAACTAATTAATAAATTATTAAATTACATTTAGTTTTATTATTTAGCAATTAAATAATAATTAATTCATTGCAACAGCAAAAAAAAAAATTCTTCCAATTAATATTTGTTTCAATTAATTAATCCAATTATGCTCGATTACGAATTTTATTTTGTTTTTTTTTTTCGTGCCTAAAACAATTAATATGATTTTCTATTTGATATTTGGAATAATATTTAAAAAATTAAAAAGACCAATTTAAAAAGTTTTTGTGTTAATTTTAAATTGTAACAGGTTTGGATACATTTTTGTTTAAAGTTTCTTTTTTCAAAAAACAAATTTTGCTTTGTTTTCTTGTGCCTAGCATAAATTTTTTTTTTCAACAAAAAATATAGTTTTTAATATATTTAAAAAATTAATGTAATCTTCTAATATTTAGAATAATATTTTGAAAAATTAAAATCAATTAAAAACATTCTTTTTCCAAATTATAAATCATAATATTTTTGATTTTATTATTACTCTGTCAAATTTCGTTTTGTCTTCTTATACCTAAATTCTATCTTCGATGCATAAATAATATTTAAATATGTTAAAACCATATTTTAAATCATTTTTATTATTAAATTTGTCGCACATTTTGAAGCTACTGAAATAATTGAAATTATATTATAAATGAATGATAATTTTTTTTAATGCATTACCTATTGATCAAAACTTAAATTAATTTAAAACTTAAAATATTTACTTAAATATTATTTATTAATTAAGTTACTACAACACAAACTGAAATGGATTATACTATTTCTAATGAAACATTAGAAACTACGTCACCTGTGGAAATTATCAAATATTCTCATCATGGCAAATGTATCTATTCTGCCATCTATCAAACATCTTTTCACGGTGCTAAATTAATCAAAAGATTTCTAGTTTCCAGGTTAGTTCCCTCCCTGTTGTTTGTTTATTGTTGTTGTTGTTTTGTTTACATTTTCTTTTGATTAATTCAAATACTCTGAAATATAATTTTTTTTTTTTTTTTTATAACTCTTATTACATAAAAACTTTTATTTAATTGTTAAAGTAAAAATTTTCGATTATCGATTCATTTAATACAACAATCAAAAGTTGGATATTTTTTGTTTAAATATTTAAATATTAATGTACTGTTTGAAATATGATAAAGACAGATAACGTTGATAATTTTGATTTTTTTTTTTTTTTATCTATTAAATTAAAATCTATAGGAAAGATTTTTTTTTTTTTTAATTAGTAGAATTGATTTTAGTCCACAACAATGCTTTTATGGATGTCATTTTGAGGGTTGTCGATCATCAAATCTTCTTCAGGTTGATAATCAAACATATTCTTGTGAATTATTCAGGTATTTTTTTTTTTTTCTACTATTATTATCATCAATTTAATATTTATAAAATGTCAACAAAAACAATTTCAAAAGTATTACAAATAGAATTTGAAACAAAAAAAAAATTTTTTTTTTTCTAAACTCTATGAAATATCTGCTATTCAATTTTTTCTGTTTTTCTATGATATATTAACATAATAATTTATAATTATCCATCTATCAAATTATTTGATAACTGATAACTGATATAATTGTTATCACATTGTTACAGTGATGCTTTAATTGATTATCGTACGGCCGATGTATTGGTGTATGATAGTGGTAGCGTATATTTCGATGGTATTAAATGCACCATGAAACGTCCAAAAGTAGTTAAAAGTAGTGATAGTGAAAGTAATCGTAGTAGTGCTGATAATGAAGATTATGGTGATAATAATTGATAAGTTGAATAATTTGTACAGAATTGGATTTAAACATTTTATTGTTGACATTTTCTCACTCAGGACGAAGAACGGATCAATGTTTTCTCGGTTTTTTTTTTTTTTTTTTTTTTTTTTTGATTTTTTTTCAAAATAATTATATTTATAATTAATATTTTATTCTAACTTCATTAATTATCATTTGAATTTTTCAGATTGCAATTTTAAATTATCATTTAAATTTATCAAATAATCTTTTTTTATTGTGATTTACATAGATTTTATAATATTGTTAGTATTAGGATGATAAATTTAGTTAAACTGTTAATGTTAATAATAAAAGATGATTATTATGTGATAATAATTTCAAGTTATGATTCAAAAGAAAGAATAAAAAATAAAAACAATCCATCAATAATTTATTGCAAAATTTTTATCTTTTGAATCAGAATGAATAATTTATGCTTAATTAAAATGTTGCAATAATACTTTTTTTTTTTTTTTTCTTCATTGCAAATTATAAGAATGTAATTAGTAATTATGCAATGACTGGCAATGAAAGATTGTTGCTAAGCAGCAAATTTGTTTGATTATTTCATGCAACATTTAATATTTACGACTAATGACAATTTACAGGTGTACATTTGCACAGGTATGAATTAATTAGAAATGTTTACATATTTATTACAAGACGGATTAGTAATAATTTAAAATAAATTGAAAAAAAAAATTGCTGAAAAGTTTAATTGCAGATTTATTTCAATTGATTTAATTAATTTAATTGAAATTATAACTTGGAAAGAATGAAAATAAAATTTAAAAAAAAAAAATGATAAAATGAATTTATTTTATTATACATATAAATTAAATAAGCTAATCAAGCAGAAAAAAAAAAGGTAAAAGAAAATTAATTATGGCAATTTCATTGTATGGAAATAAAATTTGTTATTTTTGGTCAATTCTACCAGCAATTTTTATTTGAATTATTTATTTAAATTTTTATGTCTATGAGAGTGTAAAGTTTTTCTGTCAAATTAATTATTAGGAAATTTTGATGGTCACTTCGAAGAGGTCATGAAGGTCAATAACAAGAGATTGGAGAAATAATTAAAATGTTTGCATCAATTTAATAATCAAATATTTGCAATTTATGCAAGAAAATGAATTATTTTTTAGTTACTTTTATTGCTTACTGACTTTTTTGAGAAATTTTTATGTCTAAAATTTGTTTTTCAATTTTTTGATTTTTTGCAAAGAAATGATTGCAAGTTTTGTCTAATATAAATATAAAAATTTATAAAAGATGAATAATTTATTGATCAAAAAAGAAGAGAAAAAATTTGTTTGATAAGCAAAGAATAATATGAAAAGAAGATTGTAATATATAAGAATTGTTTTACACTTTGATAATATATAATTAAGAAATTAAAAAATTGTTTAATTTCTTAAATAATTATAAAATTGCAAGAGAAGTTAATAATTATAAATTATAAAAAATATAATTATAAAAATATAAAATTTTCTCTTTCTCTTTTTTCCTATAAAATATTGATTAAAAAAAAAATTTGCTAAGTTATAAAATTTTATTTTGTCATTGATTCAAATTTTCGTCTCTCAATAATCAGTTATGAAAATTATTATTTTTAAGAAAATTTTAACTTTCTTTTCAGGTTTTTACTTGAATTTTTAACATAATTCATTTGCTTAAAAAAAAAAAAAAATTTTTTTTTTTCATTATGGTAAGAATAAAAAAATGTTAAAAAATTCAACCACAAAGTTTTTAATATCATTCAAAATTTTCGCATCTTCTAATTTAATCAAAAACATACAATAAAATAAAATGAAATAAAATTCAGTAATTAAATTTCTTAATTAATTTTGCTTAATTCATCCTTTTAGAAAATAAAAATCTAAAACAGTTAATTGTATTTGAATTTTAAGTTACAAACATTAAATGAGATAAAATTTAATTTATTCATTGCCATCAGTACAAAAATGCAAACATATGAAAAGATAACCCTCAAAGAAAGTTTCACATTTACTATATATTATAAATTAAAGTTTTTGTTATAAATTATATATATATATTATAAATTAAATATTATAAATTAAATTTGATTAATTTAAGTTAAGTTTTGAACTTTAGTCATTTTATTTTAGCTAATTTAAGCTGCTAATATGGCATTTAAAAATTAATAATTTCCATTTACGCTTAATGCATTAAATGCTGAAATTGAAATTTTAATGAATAACTACATTAATACTAAAGATTTAAAATTAATAATAACATATAAACGAAACAAAGCAGCACGCAACTGCTTGCATATTTTGCATGATAGGTAAGTTTGCAAATTGGTAATGCAGTTTTAATTAAAATAGAAAACATGTTTTCTTCAAAATATATTTCATTTCATTAGTCACATGGCATCATTTCATCGGAATATTTTTGAAAGGATATTAAAAATAGAGGTGACAGCAGGACATTTGTTTATGAAAATTCATTTAAGAAAAAAATTTTTTTTTTTTGTCATTTTATTTGTCAAATGTATTTAAAATTTTTTCAAATTCTATTATTTTACATTTGTAAAATTTTCAGATCGCTAAATTTTTTATTCAATTAAAAAAATAAGAATGACGACATTTTTGTTTGTTTTCTTTTTGTGAAATTATTTTTAAATTATTGAAATTTATTTTCAAATTTTAAATTGAAATTAATTATGCTACATTTGGCACAAAATATTATGTATGTTTATTATTTAATTAATTAAAATGCATTTATTAAGTACTGCATTAAAACGATCAATTGTTGAATTGATTGCAGAAATAAATTTCCTAAAATTTTACTTTCAATATTTTAAATAATTATAAGTAAGTAATTTATACTTTATACTTCACATGTAATACTGAATGATTTTAATTAGTTATTTGTTATTTTTACTAATATTGAAAACAATATTTGTTGCTTGCATTATTGATTGACACTAAGTATGATAATAGCATTCCTCTAAAGTATGCAAATTGATGGATAAACCGGATTCATTGAAACGGAAATGAAATTTTCTGTTTTTATAAATCAAACGAAAATTCATCAATAATGAAAACAGTTGATTATTTTAATTTTACAACTAGCTAATTCAAAATTTTCGAATTAAATTCAAATTAAATTGTCTAAATTTTTAGAAATTTTACAAAAAATTGAAATGAAAGATTTGAAACGTTGGATAAATTTGTAACCTCAGAATATTACGATTAAATTAAATTGTTTGATAAAAAATCTTAATTTCAATGAACTAAAATTAAAAATATTTATATTCAGAGAACACTAATAATCATTTCGATAACCAATCGATTTATGCAAAAAAAAAAAAAAAAAATGGCAATTGATAAAATTTAGTTTAAATTTTAGCATCTAAAGATTGTGTTTAAAAAATGATTTAATTTATTTTCTTCGGAAAAAAACAAAAAAACAAAAAGAGAAAAACAATTAAAGAATTTTTCTAATATTTGAATGAACATTAATTAAAGTAAACTAATTTATTACCATAGCAATTGAAATATTATCATTAACTTGCCAATTATTGCTAGCAGTATTTATTTCAATTTCCATTTCATTCCATCCTTAGCAATTTTTTTTTCTTTGAATTGAAATGAAAAATTTATTTTGGTCCTTCAATGAGAATTTAATTAGTTAAAATATGATTGAACTGATAATGATTATAACTAAAATTTAAATTCAGTCCTGCAAATGGTTATTTCTTGCACAATGAAATTATATTTGTAAAGTTTAGGAAGACTTTCTGATATGAAACGAACTGTAAAATATTGAAAAACTTTTTTTTAGAACTTTAGATTTAATAAAATACCTCAATGGCAGCTAATGCTTCTACTAAAACACTCAAGAAAAGAAAGTCGATTACAGGTATGCAAAAGAATAGTTTAATTACAGGCATACAGAACTGATAACAAAATATAATTTGGAATGCAATTAATTAATTGGATTTTAAGTTTAATTTAATTACTTATAAGAGAGTCGATCCTTTTAAAATATCATTTTAATCTCTTTAGGTTATCTTTGCCAGTGATTCCAGTATGTCTTACTGTCAACCTGAATTACTTATAACTTTGCACAGTCAATTACTGAAAATATTATTTCATTTCAGATGGAAATAAAGCACGCAAGAAGCAAAGTCCAATAGATATTACAAATGAAATAACTGATCAGGATAGCATGTTGAAAGCATCGAAACTTCAATTTTCCTATACGATCGGCGATTTGAAAACAATCGAAGTGAAATGATGGATTGAAATTTTAACTTTAATTAACGAATTGCAAATTAGTATTACACGTAGTATTGTAAAAACAGAGTTAATTGCATTATTTCAGGTTACCGGCGAAGGTTTTTCATGTAAAACTGATAACGGATGTACTTCAGGTAAATTTTGTTTCAATTTCAAATTTAAAAAATAGTAATTCTTGAAGACTTGTAAAGGAAAAAACAAAAAGTAGAAATGAGCCGTTAATTCAACAAATTCCGGAAGAATGAATGAATGAGAGAATATTTTGAATTTCAGAATTAACTGCGTCACATCTTCCGGATGTTTACAAACTTTGGGAATTCCATGCTCATTGGGGAACAGAAAAAGATTGCGGCAGTGAACATTTAATTAATGGAAAAGGATTTTCCGCCGAGGTTAAACAATCATTTAAATTTTTTAAAAAAGTGAAGCACTACGAATTTCAATATTTTCCTCTATTTAATGACATCAAATTGGCCTAACCTTTGACCTTTACAGCTACATTTCGTTTTCTGGAACAAAAAATACAACGAATTTAACAAATGTTTAAACAAATGTGATGGATTGACAGTTTTGGCTATTTTTTTGCAAGTTTGTTTACATTCTTTTATTCTGTTTGTTTACATTATTATTTCCATTTGATCAACTAACAGTCAATAATCAATAAATTAAATGGCGCAAATGTCATGGCGGTTGATATCATATATTCGCTCGAAAAAAGAAATTTTTATCATATCCTACAAGTCACTCTACAAATTTCCTCAATTATATTCTGCATTTAAAAGAAATTAAATTAATCAAATTTAGAAGTTTTTAGACAAAAACCACGTAATGTATAAATTACATTTGCGTTTTACTATTCGAAAACTCAATTTTTTTTAAAAAAATTGACACATTACTTAGCAAACGATTTAAGGAAGATTCAGTTGATAATGAAAATTTTTCGCCAATTATTGATGGTCTAAATAATTCATTGGGCGGTTTAAGCCGTGTCAACTTGGAACCAAATTTTGATCCACTCAAATTACTTCCAGGTAAAATCTAATTTTACAGGTGACAGGTGTCATATGAATTAAAGGTAGATGATTTACTACCTGAACCCATAATCTAATTAACGTACGTTTACAGTGAAGCACTCGTATTATACGTACGAGGGGTCACTGACCACGAAACCATTTAATGAGTGTGTCATCTGGACAGTACTGAAACATCCTAATACCATAAGTTTTAAACAGGTAATCTTTACAATATTAAAACTATCCTTTTATGTCTAATTATGATATTTACAGTTTTATTGGTAAACAAAACTGTAAAACAATTTAGCAAAAGTAATTTACTAATTAATTAATTTCAAATTAATTAATTTCGAATTATGTGACAGTAATGAAGCATTTAATGACATTTGCATACAGCTGGAATTATTACGACGAATTGTCCCCAGAAATTGTCGATTTCAACATCCGTTAAATGAACGTAGAGTGAAGCGCTCATTTAAATTTATTAAAAAATCTCAATGAATGAACGATTGATATGATTTTTGGACTTTTGGTCTTATCACTTTCTGATAATCGATGGTTAAAAATGATTAAATCTGTTTTTAGCTTTGACTGTTAGCATATTGATAAACAGCTAAGAATACTTGGATAAATGATATGAAATAAACGTAAATGTCACCAAACAGAACAACGCTTCTGAGGATTTAATAAACTTCCAAATGAACAATTGAAAGCTTGGCTAAATTCAGGTAAATTTGAGAGTGGGCCATTGACACGATACTTGGCTGAGCTATGTTCATTAGTAAGCACTTGCTTGATTTGGGCTTCTTTCGTCTGATGGCCACACCAAACCTGACAACAATATCACCTTTCACCTTTCAGTTTTGAAAGCTACTAAATTCACATAAAATTAATCGATCAAATTAAAAGGACACTGAATTTGAATTCTGTTCACCTGTGCAAACGAAAGGAAAAATATTTGTTCGTCGGTGAACTTTGACATGCCCGGCAGTTTATGGGCAGAATGACCGATCTGCTCGATATACTTTTTATATGCCTGTAAATAACAGACTTTTAGTTAAAAGATTGCTAAAATGTCAAATTTTTAATAGAAATCTTATTGGTGGAATAAAGTATTTACCCGAAATGATTGTTTGATTCCACCGTTGTCAGCGATATTTTCCCCTAAGGTAAACTTCCCCTAAGGTAAGTTTCCCATTTACCTGCAAGCAAATCAATTCATTTCAATTAAAAAGTTTAATTTAACAAATAAAGTAGTAAAAGCAGTGTAGCGTTTGCATCCACTTCATCAGGAATTCTGGAAAATTTGAAACCGATTATCCGGAATTACTACTACCACATTACTGCTTCTACTTTTGCTAATTAATTTAAAGATCTATCCATTATTAAAATTAATCAGTTTTGGTTAAAATTAATCAAAATTAATCAACTGGACTTCATGGATATATTTGTTTCGTATTTTCAAATATTAAAAAAAAAATTAAAAGCATTTAAACTCGTTTTTCTTTTTTTTTTTTTCTTTTTTGATTAAGTTTTTTCTTTATTAATATTTTAAGCTAATAATTTTTATTAACAAATTTTCTGTATTGCAAGCAAATTTTTTCAACCATTTCCAAAATGAAATATTTATGCTTTCTTGTGAATAATAGAATAACACAAAAAAGAGGAAAACAAATGACATTAAAATTAACAAATATCATCCAAATATGAAATAATTTTTTCTTCTCAAATATAAGTTATTACTTTTATTTCTCTTATTTTTACTAATTATTTTCAAAATTATTTTTTAACTTTATTTCTAATATTTGTGAATAGATTAATTGCATTTACTATTTTCATCAATAAAATAGAAGAAAAAAGGGTGGCAAAAAAAAAAAAAATTTTAACTGATGGGTGGAAGAATATTGATGGATGCAGAAATACCAATCACAATACGAAGCCAATAAACAAATCAAAAATGTTTGCAAATATAATTTTGAAGCGAAGATTTATTACTCAGCAATTTTTTCATTTTGATCCTATGTAACTGTAAATTTTAACAAATTATTGTCTGCAATTTGTTCACAGTTTTTTTTTTTTTTCTAAATTGCAAATTTTATTTTATTTTTTTTTTTCATTTTAAAAAAGCTATCAAATATATTTTAATTGTTGCATTACGAATACTTTAATTTTTTTTAGTGCTAATTTAGATTAATAGCAAAAGAAAATAAGAAGGAATTGATGTGAATATATTTTGTTGTGGAATGTATTCACTGCCAGATATTTTATTTTGCCTCAAACTTGGGTAATTAAACCCGACAAATTAATATTATAAGAACGCATAACGAAAGATATAATATAATTATAAAACACTAAAATAATATCAAAAACCATCCCAAAATGTAGAATGAATAACCGTAATGGAGGATCGGTTGGTTTATATACAGAACCGAACTGACAACCAGATATCCGGTAGAGGACATTTAACTGATGTGAAACAAAGATTGCTAACAAAGGGTTTTTTTATTGTGTGAGAAAAAGGAATTAGCATAATGGCTTAAATGATCTAATGATCTACACATAGATCAGTTACAAATGTGAAATTATTTGGTGAATGACTTATCAGACATCTAACAAAAGTATTAGAATTTAAATATAATTTAAATGTATCGTTTTTTATGACATATTTCACATGAAATTTCATTTCTTTTTTTTTTTTTTGAATAAATTTGTATAATTCTCACATTTCATTTTTTTATCGTTTGAACAATTCACCTTTAACTAGAATAAAATTTCACATTATATTTATTGCTCTTAAGTTTATTTCTAACAATCAAATATTTTGTTATTTCAATAATTTAATTCTTAACTAACAAAAGAGAGAGAAAAAAAAGAATTGATTTGAATATATTTTTATATAAGCTTAATCATTTAGTTATTTTATTATTATCAAAGAAAATGAAAATTATATTTTCTCCTCTTTTGCTCATTTTGTTTACATTTAATTTGTTGTTTAATTTTATCTCAATTACTGCATTTAACCTATAACTGTAAAAAATTGATCTTTTGATTACTATAATTATAGAAAAACAATGCTTCAAAATTAAATTTCCAAATTTTCAACTTTTCAAAAAAGAAAAAGTGAAAAAAAAAATCAAATTTCAAAGTAAAATAAAACTCCTAAGACAGACTTTTTTTGATTAAAATTTCATGTTTAACAAAATTTCTCGATTACACATTTTTTTCAAAACTTTTTCAAAATCAGTTAATGTAATCCAGAATTCAAATTTTTCTTAAATAATGTTTTTAGATAATACTTTCGTGATACTTTTATGATTATTATAGTAATTGTGGAAAGATTAAATTTAAATAATACACAATTTAACATTTAAAAGAATTCATTAATTCATTTCAGATTCATTACTGCCATTTTTTCGCTTTTTCATAGTTTATGGATAAATTTACAATTTTGTGCATTTCACTTTTATGCATCATTTCTCACGGTGATTCATTTTGTTGTTTTAATAGTTCACTCTCGGCTAGGATAAACTTTCAACTTTTTGTTTACTACTTTTAAGTTTATTTCTGACAATTAGCTAATTTTATTTCATTTTCTCCAATAATTTTATTTTTTTTTTCAATAATTTCAATAATTTTCAACTTTTTTAAAATAAATATTTCAATAATTTTCAATATCTTTTTTTCAGTTTCAATATTTCAATAATTTTCAACTCTTTTAAAATAATTATTTCAATAATTTTTTTTCAATTTCAGTGTTTCAATAATTTTCAATAATTAATAAATTTCAATAATTTTTCAATGCTACTAAATTATTTTTTTTTCAATAATTTCAATAATTTTTTTTTTCAATAGTTTCAATAAATTTTCAAATTCAATAACAATAATTTTCAATAATTCATAACTAGCAAAAAAATAAAAAAAAAAAGAAAATACTAATACCATATGTGATACAAGTAAAGCAATTTTATGTGATGTGATTTTTTTTTTTAAAACTAAAATGAAAATTTCATTTTTTTTTTTTTTTTTTTTTTTGGTAGTATATTTACCTGATTGTATTCCAATTAGTTATCCGGTTTTGAATCAAAAAATAAAATTGGGCAATTTTGCAGTAGAAATTTTGCTGCAGAAGTTATATTTATTTATCGATTTTGCATGAAAATTAAAATAAATTTGTCCGGAAAATGATATTTTAGTACAATCAATATTCTTAGTATTAATAAAATATAACGAAATTAAAATATAAATTTTCTTCGGAAATAATATTTAAAATTTATTTGTTCCTTTTTTACTTTTTTTTTTTTAACGTATATTTGTCATTTATAGCATTAACGAATGATATTCTGAATAGGAATGATTTATTATTAAAATCAAATTTCAATACCAATTTTTTATCCAAAAAAATGACTAATGAAATTGATGAAATTGGATATGCTACTGCTGCACATAATATTGTAAGTTTAATAAAATTAAATATTTATTTCAAAAAACTTTTCCTCACTGAAATTTTATTTCCAATTATTTTTTTTAATTCTAATTTTAATTCCTATAGCAATAAAAGCTTAGAAATGATGAAAATTAGGAGTTTATTAATAATAATCGAATTTACTTTACTTTTTTATTGTTACTTATTAACTTTGTAAAATAAGTTTTTCTTACTTTTTTTTTTTTTTGCTTTTTTTTTTTTTTTTTTTCTGTGAAATATTTTAATAGAATCTTTAGGAAAGTCTTAGAAAGAAATACAGATATCTAGGATGGGAATGTTAATTTATCACCTGAATTCAAGCTAAATTCAATGAATACAACAGCCGATCCATGCAATGACTTTTTCCAATATGCTTGCGGCCGATGGATTCATGAAAATCCGATACCGGATGATCAATCCGGATACGGAACATTTGTAATAACCACAAACATTGTACGAAATCAAATGAAAGGTAATTATTAATGCAATTTTTTATAACAATAAATGATAATTTTTGAAAGTGTTAAAATGATTTTTTGATTTATCATTTCATTTTCAATAATTGTTTCAGTATCGAAAAATTCTAAAAATAAAATATTTATTTTTTTTTTAATGCAAACTATTCAATTTTTTGTTTTCAATATATTTATGTATAACTTTAATGATTTGCATTTATATCGTATTTTGATAAACAGTTTAAAAATATTGAACAAAATTATAGAATTACTGGATCAAAGTATATTATGAAAAATGATATATTGTATAAATTGTTAAATTTTATCTTTTAATTAATTTACTTTCCTTGTGTTATTCTATTTAAAAATGATTTTTCCATTTGAAACTTTTAGTTTTTAAGTAATCCGAAAATTTTGATTATTTAAGTATCTATAAGTGATTTTTTTTCCATTTCTAGCATTATTAGAATCAAATAAAACGAAAAGTTATATAATTCCTGGATTAAATTATATTATAAAAAAAGATATATTGTATAAATTGTTAAATTTTATTTTTTAATTTATTTTTAGTATTTAAGTATCTATAAGCTACTTTTTTTTTTCTTTTTTCATTTCTAGCATTATTCGAATTAAATGGAACAAAAAGTTATATAACTTCTGGATCAAAGTATATTATGAAAATTATTATATAGTATAAATTTTCAAGTTTTATTTTTTAATTAATTTTTAGTATTTAAGTATCTATAAGTTTTTTTCTTTCTTTTTTCATTTCTAGCATTATTAGAATCACATGAATCGAAAAGTTATACAATTCCTGGATTAAAGTATATTATAAAAAGAGATATATAGTATAAATTGTTAAATTTTTCTAAATTTATTTTTAGTATTTAAGTATCTATAAGCTATTATTATTATTGTTTTTCAATTTCTAGCATTATTAGAATCACATGAATCGAAAAGTTATACAATTCCTGGATTAAATTATATTATAAAAAAAGATATATTGTATAAATTGTTAAATTTTTTTTTAATTTATTTCTAGTATTTAAGTATCTATAAACTATTATTATTATTATTTTTCAATTTCTAGCATTATTAGAATCACATGAAACGATCACACCAAAATGCATTGATATGGCTCGTATTCTTTATAAAGCATGTATGAGTGTTGAAAAAATTAGCACTGTTAAAACTGAGTATGTTTTTTTATTTATTTTCTAAATTTTTTTTTTTAAAAAAAAAAAAAAAACATTTTTCTAATTTTTGTCTAAAAAAAAAAGAATTATTGAATTAAATGGAATATTTTAGAATATAATTTATAAATTAGATTAAATTAATAAACATATAATTTAATTTATAAATTATATGAATTTATTATGGTTTATTTTTATAGGCAATTAATTGAAATATTTCGTAAAATTGGTAAATGGCCATTACTTGAAGATAATTGGAATAATTATATGATTGATATTACGGATATGATAGCATCAGTAACTCAAAATTTTGGTGATCCAATTTTATTCAAAGTTTTTATTGATGCTGAATCTAAAAATACCACAATTCATGGTTTATATGTAAGCATAATTTGATCAAATTATGTAAATTTAAAAAAAAAAATTAAAAATTTTTGTTTTTAAATTCCTTTTTTTAGAGGATGTAAATTTTTTTAAAATTATTTTTAAAGTATGTAAAATGTAAATTAAAAGTCATTGTTAAGATGGTTGAAAAATTTTTTTAAAAAAAAATGCTACATATATCATTTTTGATATTAGAATGATAGCATATATATGTCATTTAAAAATGGAAATGATTTAATTTTTTAATTGCTGATAATTTGCTCCAAAATTCTTTAAATTTTTATGAATTGGTTTAAGAACAACAATTTAAAATGATTTTTTATAAGAATTAATAAATTATCTTTAATAAAATGAATACTAATATAACAAGCATTGCTTATTTTTTTTTCTTTTTTTCAAATAAAAAATATTTGTGGAGAAATTTGCAGATTGATCAAGCTAATTTGGGTCTTGGTAGTGGTACTCGAGATTATTATTTAAATTTAATAAAGTTTCCGAAACATCTTAAAGCTTATAAGGAATATCAATTGGAAACTTTGAAATTGGTATTGAGCGGAGCTAATATTAGCTATAATATATCAGAATTAATAAACGATATTAACGATATTATAGCATTTGAAATTGAAATTGCTAAGGTATTATTTTTGCATTTGTTTTAAATCACAATTTTTTTCAATTTTTACAATCTATAATTTGAAGGTGGAAATTAAAGAATTTAATTTCTTGGATTGAAATTAAAAACGATACCGATGCAATTTGCAAAGTTGAAAAGTGTTATTTTATTAATGAATTAACTTCTATAATTAGTTATTTGAATGATTTTAACTTTAAATACAATCATATTTCGATAAATTTTAACTTAACATATGAGTATATGATATTATAATAGTTAAGGCAATCCTTCACATTTTACAAATTATATATATTTCGATGTAAAATTTAAAAGTTTTGAAGTGAAAATTTATTTTAGTTTATTGTACCGGAAGCAAACCGACGTAATAGCTCACGTTTATACAATAAAAGAATTATTGCTGATCTATACACATTAATTCCACAGGTTTCTCTTTAATTTTCATAATTTAATTTACACGTGAATACGATTAATTTACTAGCATATCTTTAAAATATAAATTTAATTAAAAATTTAAAACTTGAAAAAAATTCGACTACAATTATATTTCGATATATTTTTAATGAATTTTAAGATGACATTGAAATTGTTGAAATTGTTTGTTTTTTTTTTGTTATCTCATATTATTATTATATCAATTATCACAAATTCCACAAATTGAAATTGTTTTATTATCTCACATTATTATTATTACTATTATTATTATTAATACTATTATTGTTGTTATTATCATTATTATTATTATTAATGCCATTATTGTTATTATTATTATTAATACTATTATTGTTGTTATTATCATTATTATTATTATTAATGCCATTATTATTGTTACTATTATTATTACTATTATTATTAATACTATTATTATTTTTATTGTTATTACTATTATTGTGATTATTATTATTATTAATACTATTATTATTATTACAAATAGAATTTATTATTACAAATTCCAAATAGTTTAATATATTTCAGATTAATTGGATTAAATTTATGTACCACTTAATACCAGCATCAATGCATGATATAATTGATAATCAAACAAATATTATAATTCAAGAAGTGGAATTTATGAAAAATTTATCAAATTTATTGAGCACAACAAATAAACGTATCATTGCTAATTATATTTTTTGGCGAACAATTGATGTTTGGAGTGATATTTTAGGCAAAAAATTTGATGATATCCGATTGGTAATTATTTATTTTTTGATAAACTTGTTTTTCTTTTAAATTATATTTGATGATATTTAATCTTAACTTTAACTAATAACTATTAATGGAAATTTAATTAATTAATTATCAATAAATTTTGTATTATTAATAGTTTAATGAGATTTTTATTTTCATTTAATTGATAAATTTAATAATTCTTTGTTAAATTCAAAAATTCATTGATTAAACTCTTTTGTGTTTTTTTTTTTTCCTTATTGCAAATAATATTTGAAATAATTAAATTAATCTAAATTTATGTGTAAAAAATATTGTAAATGTTCAAAAAAATATATATATTATTTTGAGAAAAATATGTTTAATAATTTTCATAAATGTATAATTTTTTTTTTTTTTTAAATTTTAATATTTTAATAGAAATTAACACGTGTAATGAGTGGTCAGCAAAAAATGATACCACGTTGGCAGCAATGTGTTCAAAGGACGGAAAATTTATTAGCGCAAGGAACCAGCGCTTTATTTGTTCGAAAACATTTCAGTTCTGAGATACGGAAGGAAGTATTGGTACGATATTTAGTTTAAATATTCATTATGAAAATTTTTCAATTGAAAAATTTATTTATAATTATTTGTTAAATTTAAAAGATTAAAATTTAAATTTATCATTGATAAATTTTGTTAATTAATAACAAAATAGTATGGCAAAAAAAAAAGTGCTTTTTGTTTTTGTTTTTTTTTTTTTTTTTTTTTGGAGAAAAATTTTAAAAAATTGGAAATTAATAATCAATTTTGTAATTATATAATATTGAAATTTTTTTTTTTAAAAAAAAAATATTTTCGATATTGTTATTCTATTAATACAGTGGCTGGTTTATGCAAGGAACAACAAAATTATTGGAAGTATTATAGAAAATTTCATATTTTGATTTAAAAATTTCACATTTTAAATTTGACATTTTGAATTCTTTAGGATATCCTAGAAAATATTAAAAAAGCATTTCAAGATATTGTTGAAGAAATAGATTGGATGGATAATAGTACTAAGAAAGCTGCTTTACAAAAGGTTTTTATTTATAATTATAATTAATTCTAACATAAATTGTAATTTAAATTTTTACATTTTAAAATTTTACTTTTAATTTCAAACTTTTATTAATTGATTAATTCAAAAGTAATATTAGGTAAGGTAATATTTGATAGAAATAGAAAACTTTATTCAATTCAAGAATGCAATATATTTAGAGCCAAGATTGCTAATTAAAATTATTTTAAATTATCAAGAAAGAAGATAAGTTGAAAGTAAAAATCAAAATTAAATTATTGATTTCTTCAGTTTAATTCATCCTATCATCCATTATCGTTAACTTGAAATAGATTATTTGGCTAGTAACTGTCTTTTCGGCTAGTTTGACACTCTTCTATAGCATTCTATTGCAATGAACATTATTATTGTATTAATTTTTTAGTTAATTCATATTCTGATTTACAAAAAATAATTGATTAACATTTTTAGGTTGCTGCTATCACCAACAAAATTGGTTATCATGATATGATAATGAATGATACAGCACTTACTGAATATTACAAAAAGGTTATTACAAGCATAAATTTTATAAATATTTATATTTTGCGAACATGATAAATCTATTATTATTATTATTATTATTATCACTATTATTATTATTATTATTGTTATTATTATTATTATTTATTATTTATTATTTTTATTTATTGTTATTATTATTGCTATTATTATTGTTATTGTTATTATTATAAATCGATAATATATTTAAATAGTTAAGTTTTTTTCGTAAAAACTACAAATACTTAAAATTGAGGAATATTTAATGATTATTGTAATTAGCTGCCATTCAAGTTTCAAAGATCAAAAATAGTAGGAGAGTATGAATTTAAAAATGAAAATAAAATGAACAATTAAAATTAATGAAATCTATTTCAAATCTCTTTTAAAATAAGTTTAAAACTTATTGTTTGCTTGGAAAGAAAATGAGGAAAAAAAAAATAGTGTTTTAATGTGAAATTTCAAATATTCCAAAATAAAATCAAAAAATAAAATCAACTATTTATTGAAATAATTTTTATTTTTTCATTTCATTAATAATTATTTTTATTTTTTTTTTTTTTTGCATTCATTTTTTTAACCAAAATTTTATTTCTATTATTTTCAATTATTTATTTTATTATTTGCCAATTTATTAAATATACATAAAATCTCTTTCATTTATTCTATTTTTCTATCACATTTTTGAGAAAAAAAACTTTATCAATTAATAAAGTAATTAGGAATTTTTATTGTTTTCAGTTAAATATAACCTCGGAAGATAGTTATTTTCAAATTTTACGTAAAATAGCAAAATGGGATGCGGAAAGATATTTTTTACGTCTTAAAAAACCATTCGACAAATATGAATTTGTACAAAGCGCTTCAACTGTTAATGCATTTTTTACATTTCGAATGAATTCACTTAGTAAGTTTTACTCCTTTTTTTTTTATAATTTATTAATTTTTTTGTTTTTCATTTTTTTTTTTTAATAATTTTATAATTTTATTATTTTTATAATTTATTAATTTTTTTGCCTTTTTTTTTTTTTTTTCATTTTCTTTTTAATAATTTTATTATTTTTATAATTTATTAATTTTATTAGTTTAAATTGAATCAAAAATATTTTAGCACTGCCAGCTGGTTTCCTTACACCACCATTTTTCAATCGTTACTATCCAAAGTTAGTGCTTTTCATTTTTATTTTTATTTTTTTTTTGCTTCACTTTTAAATATTCAATGTATATTTTTATTTTCATTATTTTTGGTTTCCACTTTGACCTTTATGTAAATGAAGTGACCAAAAATGGATGGTCATTTGGTCATTTTGGTCAATGATAAAATGAGAAATGTCATATTAATAATTTTTTATTTTTGGCTGAATCTTTGATATCATTTAATGATCATTTCAAAATTAATTAAATATTCCAGGGTTTTTTTTTTGTGATCAATATAAGGTTAATGCTGCTAACTTTTTAAGCTTATATTTATGTTGCAGTGAAAGAAGTGCTTAGAAAAATTTTTTTGATAAATTTAATTTGTAAAATTAAGAAATTTAAATTTCAATTTCTATCGCTATTAATAAACTATAATTATTTTTTTAAAGAGCAGCAAATTATGGTGCATTAGGTACAGTGATGGGTCATGAATTAACACATGGCTTTGATGATGATGGTTTGATTTCATTTTGATAATTTTTTTTTTTTTTTTTTCACACTTATTCATTTCATCATTTTAATAAAATTTTTAATTTTTTAATTTTCAACAAAAAGCCAACAAATTTTTTTTACTTTATTAAAAAAAAAATTTATTATAAAAATTTGCATTTAAATATTTTATATTAAAACATTCATTTAACAAATAAATTCTATTTATTAATATATGTTTAACTATTACCTAATGAAAATGTTATATTTATTTATTAACTGTTTGATTAATATTTTATATGAAATTATTTTTTGCTATAATTAAATTTAATATAATTTAAATGTTTTATGTGCTATTTCCAAGAATTCTATTTAGTGATTTATATTTAAGGAAAATGATTACCATAATCTATCATTAGAGAATTTGTTATTTTAGAAATTAAATTATCAATCGATTAGTATAACCAATAAATTATCAGTAAATTAGATTAGTTTACTTTATGAAATTTCAAATCAAAATATTTAAGAGTTCATAATAATTATACTTTAATGCATTATGTTATCATTTTAGTCTGTCATCAAAGCTTATTTTTCCTTGCAAATAATTAATTTTACATGTAATTATTTTAATGATTATTACAGGAAGTCTTTATGATATGAATGGTAATTTGAATAATTGGTGGAGTAAGGAATCGTATAAAAACTTTAGAAATAAAGCGCAATGTTTCATTGAACAATATGATTCATATAAAGTACCAAATACGGATTTTAAAGTAAGAAATGAAGTAACAATGGTATATCCTATGTTTTGCTTAGAATTTCATTTCTCGAGATTGATTAATTTTAATAATTGACAGATCTTTAAATTAATTAGCAAAAGTAGAAGCAGTAATGTTGTAGTAGTAATTCCGGGTAATCGGTTCCAAATTTTCCAGAATTCCTGATGAAGTGGATGCAAACGCTACACTGCTTTTACTATTTTATTTGTTAAATCAAACTTTTTAATTGAAATGAATTGATTTGCTTGCAGGTAAATGGGAAACTTACCTTAGGGGAAAATATCGCCGACAACGGTGGAATCAAACAATCATTTCGGGTAAATACTTTATTCCACGAATAAGATTTCAATTAAAAATTTGACATTTTAGCAATCTTTTAGCTAAAAGTCTGTTATTTACAGGCATATAAAAAGTATATCGAGCAGATCGGTCATTCTGCCCATAAACTGCCGGGCATGTCAAAGTTCACCGACGAACAAATATTTTTCCTTTCGTTTGCACAGGTGAACAGAATTCAAATTCAGTGTCCTTTTAATTTGATCGATTAATTTTATGTGAATTTAGTAGCTTTCAAAACTGAAAGGTGAAAGGTGAAGTTGTTGTCAGGTTTGGTGTGGCCATCAGACGAAAGAAGCCCAAATCAAGCAAGTGCTTACTAATGAACACAGCCCAGCCAAGTATCGTGTCAATGGCCCACTCTCAAATTTACCTGAATTTAGCCAAGCTTTCAATTGTTCATTTGGAAGTTTATTAAATCCTCAGAAGCGTTGTTCTGTTTGGTGACATTTACGTTTATTTCATATCATTTATCCAAGTATTCTTAGCTGTTTATCAATATGCAAATTAATTATTTTATTCCTTAACATTTTGTCACTAACAGCCAAAGCTAAAAACAGATTTAATCATTTGTAACCATCGATTATCAGAAAGTGATAAGACCAAAAGTCCAAAAATCATATCAATCGTTCATTCATTGAGATTTTTTAATAAGTTTAAATGAGCGCTTCACTCTACGTTCATTTAACGGATGTTGAAATCGACAATTTCTGGGGACAATTCGTCGTAATAATTCCAGCTGTATGCAAATGTCATTAAATGCTTCATTACTGTCACATAATTCGAAATTAATTAATTAGTAAATTACTTTTGCTAAATTGTTTTACAGTTTTGCTGTTTACCAATAAAATTGTAAATATCATAATTTGACACAAAAGGATAGTTTTAATATTGTAAAGATTACCTGTTTAAAACTTATGGTATTGGGATGTTTCAGTACTGTCCAGATGACACACTCATTAAATGGTTTCGTGGTCAGTGACCCCTCGTACGTATAATACGAGTGCTTCACTGTAAACATACGTTAATTAGATTATGGGTTCAGGTAGTAAATCATCTACCTTTAATTCATATGACACCTATCACCTGTAAAATTGGAGTTTACCTGGAAGTAATTTGAGTGGATCAAAATTTGGTCCCAAGTTGACACGGCTTAAACAGGCTAATGAACTGCTGAGACCATCGATGATTGGCGAAAAATTTTCATTATCAACTGAGTCTTCCTGAATGAACTTGAAAAAATTCCTGCGTGAAAGAAAAAAGTTCCTTTTTACGGACGTGAAATTCTGAATCTAAATAGCAAAACTAATTCAATCTTTAAATTACATATTAAGCTTGAAAATATTTGACGAAAAGTTGGTCAATAATTTCTTTTTTCGAGCGAATATATGATATCAACCGCCTTGACATTTGCGCCATTTAATTTATTGATTATTGACTGTTAGTTAATCAAATGGAAATAATAATGTAAACAAACAGAATAAAAGAATGTAAACGAACTTGCAAAAAAATAGCCAAAACTGTCAATCCATCACATTTGTTTAAACATTTGTTAAATTCGTTGTATTTTTTGTTCCAGAAAACGAAATGTAGCTGTAAAGGTCAAAGGTTAGGTCAATTTGATGTCATTAAATAGAGGAAAATATTGAAATTCGTAGTGTTTCACTTTTTTAAAAAATTTAAATTATTGTTTAACCTCGGCGGAAAAGCCTTTTCCATTAATTAAATGTTCACTGCCACAATCTTTTTCTGTTCCCCAATGAGCGTGGAATTCCCAAAGTTTGTAAACATCCGGAAGATGTGACGCAGTTAATTCTGAAATTCAAAATATTCTCTCATTCATTCATTCTTCCGGAATTCATTGAATTAACGGCTCATTTCTATTTTTTGTTTTTTTTTTTTTACAATTCTTCAAGAATTACTATTTTTTAAATTTGAAATTGAATCAAAATTTACCTGAAGTACATCCGTTATCAGTTTTACATGAAAAACCTTCGCCGGTAACCTGAAATAATGCAATTAACTTTGTTTGTACAATACTACGTTTAATAGTAATTTGCAATTCGTTAATTAAAGTTAAAATTTCAATCTATCATTTCACTTCGATTGTTTTCAAATCGCCGATCGTATAGGAAAATTGAAGTTTCGATGCTTTCAACATGCTATCCTGATCAGTTATTTCATTTGTAATATCTATTGGACTTTGCTTCTTGCGTGCTTTATTTCCATCTGAAATAAAATAATATTTTCAGTAACTGACTGCAAAGTTATAAGTAATTCAGGTTGACAGTAAGACATACTGGAATTACTGGCAAAGATAACCTAAAGAAATTAAAATGATATTTTAAAAGGATCCACTCTCTTATAAGTAATTAAATTAGACTTAAAATCCGATTAATTAAAACTGTATTCCAAATTATATTTTGTTATCAGTTCTGTATACCTGTAATTAAGCTACTCTTTTGCATACCTGTAATTAACTTTTTATTTCTGAATTTTTTTAGTGTTTTAGTTGAATCGGTAGTAGCCATTGAGATATTTTACCGAATCTAAAATTTGCAAAAAGGTTACGCCAATCAGTTTTAATCATTTTCGATAGTCTTTTTTTTTATTCTGATAAGCGAATTTATACAAAAGTATCTTCTAAATTTTATTTTCTGATCTTTGATAACATAACTGATTGTGCATTAAATATTCTATTTTAATTTAAATTTGAACTTTTAGAAATTTTGCTATCATAATTATTAAAATTAATTCAATTTTCACAAATGGAATAAAACAAAATTATCGTTTCGTTTTAGACAAAAAATAAAAAAATTTAAAAAAAGAAAAATGGAAAGGAAAGAAAAAGAAGAAAATGAATTGATTAGAATAATAGCAATTTTCTTATTATGTGACAATTTCCATAGTAATAAATTAGTTTATTATAATAAATTTTATTGCAAATTAGAAAATACATTTTTCTATTCTTTTGCTTATTTATTGAGTTTCTTTCTTTCTTTTTTTTTTTTGAATGCAAATTTTTTTTTTATGCTTAATCTATGAAAGTTTTAAATTTTCTAAAAGTTTTTGAATATCCGAAAATCATTGAAACTTTTAACTTTGTTAGAGTTAGTCAAATTTTTTTTTTTGCTATTTCTGCAATTCTTGAATTTTTCCACCTGTTTTAGCATGCTGGATATGGTTTTTCTTTAGACATATTTTACAAAATGTACATTTAAATTACTTTAGAAATATTTTACAAAATGTACATTTAAATTACTTTAGAAATATTTTACAAAATGTACATTTAAATTACTTTAGAAATATTTTACAAAATGTACATTTAAATTACTTTAGAAATATTTTACAAAATGTACATTTAAATTACTTTAGAAATATTTTACAAAATGTACATTTAAATTACTTTAGAAATATTTTACAAAATGTACATTTAAATTACTTTAGAAGTATTTTACAAAATGTACATTTAAATTACTTTAGAAAATGAATAATAAAAATTTACGCAATATAAATTTAAGGTATGACTTATTAAACTAATCTAAAATAGCAATTAGACAAATTTAAGCAATTTAAGAGATATATTTAAAGAATCGATGGTCATCGTTTTCATGACTTTCCGGTATCTAACTTAACAAAATTTTTAAAATAAAATTTTTATAAGTTAAAAAATTATTCAGTGTTTACTTCATTCCTTAATATTTTCGATGATTAAATAATAGTGCATTGTTTGTAAAGCTAATCAGTAAATGACAGTGCAAAAGTGATAGTAACTCAAATTCATAATCAGTAATCGGTTATCACTAAATAATTTTTAAGCTTTCATTGCTAATACGTATTGTCTTTCTTTTGCTATAATACTTGTTTTGATGCAATAACTTTAAATTTGTTAATTTTTTTTATTTTAAATTTAAAAAATTTTTTATTTTAAATTTGTTAATTTTTTTATTTAAAATTTTTTTATTTTAAATGATGAAGAAGTTGTGAAAATTTTATTCGCTAGTAATTATAATACAAAACAAATTAAACATTACAATTATGTTTATAAATTTGTAATATTTACTTACGAATATGAAATGAGGAATACAATTAATAAAAAATATTTTAAAAAAAAAAGAAAAGAGAATTGGTTATGGCAATTATGCGACAACGGTCTTTTTTTTTTCTTCTAACTAAATGTTTGTTCTTTTTCAAATTAATTATTTTACTTAGTATTGTATTTCTACTCTAATAAATGGCCTAAGGTTGTAATTAGGCCAAAAAAGGCCAATAATTTTTGTTTGTATATTTTAGGTAAATAACAGATCATTTGCAGTATTATTATAATAAACTTAACAATATGTCTTGTCTTGAAACTTATATGAAAATCATGCTAAGCTGACTGATAATTCATAGAACTTAAAAAGTTTTAAAAATTTAGAAAATGTAAACCGATTTTACAATTTGTAAAAATAATTAATTAATTACTTTTAAGTGATGTTTTAACTTACTAAAATTAAAACTTAAGTGATCTCCTTATATAGCCAAATAGTAAACAAAAACAAAATTATATGATCTACAATAAGAAGTTAACTTGTAGAGAGATAAAGCGAACAAAGAGCCATTGATCTTTGTTTACAATCCATTTGAAAGATAAATAGAAGATAAATGGTAAGACAATGTTTAGTTTTATGAGGGATAAATGCAAATTTTATTTGATACAATTTGTAAGTTATTTAGAGATTCGCAAAATTTATTTCGAATTTCATGACAGAAGGATTTGTGTCACCTGAAATTTTAAATTTCTTAAAGTGGTTTGAATTATTGCAATATTTACTATCACAATAATATTGCTGTAAAAGAATTGTTGTTTCAAATAAATTTCTCGAACTTTGCAAGACTTATTTCGAATTTCACGACAGAAGGATTTGTGTCACCTTAAACTTTAACATTTTTCTATTTTAAATTTCGATGCTTTGAATTGGTGCATTATTTACTATCACAATAATATGTAAATTTTTGTAAAAGAATTGTTGTTTCAAATAAATTTCTCAAATTCCCACTCAGGCGGAAAGATATTATTTCAATTTGTGAATTTAACAATTCCGTAAAACATATTTCACGTTTATTGTGCTATAAATTTCAATGCTTATCGATGATTTCTTGGTGAAAAATTTGATGAATGCTATATTTTGACAGTGATATCAATTTCACTAATCACTGATAAAGCAAATGACATTATAACATATCAATTGATAAATAAACATTAACAAATGTAAGTCATTACTGATAAGAAATATCAATAATATACGTACGTAAGCGCATAATATCAATTTGATAAAAGTAAGAGTAAACTAAATTAAAGTCAAATATTTGTTATAATCATTCCTATTCATTCTTTTCATTCAATCTATTATCACTCTTATCATATCTTATCTTAATCAGCATTTCATACTGTTATCAAATGATTTCTTAAAATTTTCAATTTCATTAAACAAACATACATTGCATTAAAAAACTAAAGTAACAATGATAATAAGTGAATTATATTAGTTCCTTCGTTTGCAAATTAAATGAAAATGAAGGAAATATTGTCATATCAGATTGATAATATTTGCTATAATTTGCAATTTGAATATTATAATGAAAAAAACTTTTATTGAAAAATGAGAGATTTAGAGTAAAATGAAATGTCTATGATAGATTCATAGTAATAAAATTGAATAGCATTCATAAATTTTAATTTCAGGTTAATTTTAAAAAGTAATTATCATCATGACGAAGTGATGTCAATAATGCTAAAATTGATTGGTGCAAAATGCATGCAAATAACTCAAATAGTAGTATAAAAAGTTTTTCATTTCCTAGAAGAATTGTTGAATTTTTATTTTAAATAAAAATAAGTAATTAAAAGGAATTTGAATAATTTTAATTATAGCAAATGATAATTTTTCATTTAATTTAAATTACTCAAGAAGAATAGTTCGAATTAATGAAAATGACAAATTTCATTTAATTTTAAAATGATCAGAAAAGAAAAATTGAGTAAATGAAAAATGACTTACTAAAATTCAATAAGGTAATCACAAAAAATCTATTCAAACAGACTTTACGGCAGATGTATAATTGACGACAAAAAATACAAAAATAAAAAACGAAAATAAAAAAATTAGCAGCAAAAATAACTGAAATAAGAAAGAATATACAATGAACTTACTCGTATTATAATTTGTAAACAATAAAAATAAATGGTAAATAATTAATATCAATTTGTCATGGATTCCGGTACAATTTTAAGTTTTTGATGATTTGACAAGACCGGATCCGATTACTTACAATTTTACCAAAATGAAGGGTAACTTTTTTCATGTCCTATTAATTTGCTTGAATTTGTTGTAAAATATAAATAAAATAAAATAAAATAAAACAAAAAAATACGGATTGAAATGTGGGAAGAAAGAGGCGGAAAAGATTAGTCCAATATACTAGGATAAAGTGAGTATTCATTAAACTGATAGAAAGAGAGGATTATATAGGACTATTCTCGATTATTCGAGATTTGCGGTCAAATATGAATGTCAAAAGCTTTCATGCGACATTTAATTTTAATTTTACTACTTCTATTTTCAATTTAATTCATATTTTACCCAATATTTCATGTGTATATTATATTGCATTATGCAAATTCTTGCACGAGAATTGTATTATTCTTTATTTCAATAATTCAGTGATTTTACGATTACGAATTTTTCAATGATTGCATTTTTTCAATTTCAATGATTACGGATTTTTCAATTTCAATGACCAATAATTCAATGATTACGGATTATAAAATCAGGTTTTCATTTATATTATCCATTTTTTTCTTTTTATTTACTTTTTATTTATTTATTTATTTTTTGTTTATGTTTTTTTTTTTTTTTTTGCTTTGTTTATTTATTTTATTTATTTAGACTAATGAGGTGCTTATTTAGCGTATTTTAAAATTGAAATCATTAAATCTCGTAATTAATTACTTTTGTTAATTCAGGAATAGCTTCTATCTACACAATATTATTGTTTATGACGTGATCAAATGGCAGATGGAGGAGGAAAGAATTTGAAGAATTGTCTTCTATTCATATGAAAATTAATTTCTATTATTCTTTAAGAATAATAGAAATACTAATTCAGAATTGTTCGTCAACTTAAAATGACCTGTAATTAAAATTTTTAAATCTGTTTTGCAAATATTTGAATATAAATGAAATTGGTTAAATAATAAAAAAAAAAAAATGAATAGGGAATGATTATGACAAATATTTAAATTTAATTTGTTTTTATTTTATCACTGTATTATACTGATATAAACACTAATCAAAATATTATCACAATAATTTCAAATTGTTTGAGTATCAATTTTAAAGTATAATAATAAGTAATTCATGAACGAAATTATAGATTTCTTTATAATTAGTGAATTTCAAACTACAACTACTTGAACGATTTCAATAATTAATTAAATAATTTATTAAATATTAATTAATTAAATAATCAAATAATTTAAAGTAAA